AAACAGGCCCTGGGCGCCGAGCCCCTCAGGCTGTTTTCTATTCCTCTCCTCCCTAAGCACCCTCAAGCCTTTAAAGACAACCCCAGGAACTTGGAGCCGTAAAGGTTCCCAGCCACATCACAAGCAATCTAAGTCTAAGTCAATGGTCCAGGGGTCCATTCCACTGTCTTCAAGTACAACCCCAGGGACACAATGGTCTCAATCTCTCTCAACAGTATTTGCAGACGGTCCCTGACTTATGACGGTGTGAAAGTGATGCACATTCAGCAGAAACTGTACTTTGAATGTTGACCTTTTCTCGGGCTAGTGATGCACGCACCATGGTCTCTGGCGGTGCTGGGAAGGAGCAGCAGGACGATGGTGCCGACTGTAGGCCGCTGAAGGTAGGCTGGACTGAGCTCTGCTAGTCAGTAGGGTAGGGGCAGTAAGTGCATTTTTTCAACTTCTATTATCTTCGTCTCACCATGGGTTTAATCAAGCTGTAACCCCACCGCAAGCTGAGGAGCATCTGTATTTCCCTAAGCCGCCTCCCGGATGAGCACGGGCCGTAGGACGCTACGGAAATGCTGCTGCATACCGCCCGCCGTTACTGGTTTCAGTGGGAACGTACGCCCACCTGCAACTCTTTAGGTGCCCACATGGGCACACACGTCAACAATCCAGATGCCTGAAGGAAGGCGTTATTCGACACAGATCAAGAGACATAACGTGCTAGTCAAAAATTGACAGTAACCCTTCCAAAACGATGAAGGAAAATCCTAGGAAGAATTTCTATGGCTTTAGAGTTTTGTAAATTAATGCTAAAACATTATTAAAAGAAAGCACTTCAGATTTTCCCCATGGGGCTATGCCATTTTCTTGATTTTTTCCCATGCAAGAGGGGACCTTAAAGCACATTAAGGCATTGTTTCTAGACATCAACGGTTTCTGTTAAAACAACACATTTAACATTTTAAAAACTAGATATTCTAGAGATACTATTTTGCCACACTGATGTTTTTAAAAATAATCTTAAAATGTGTCAAGTTCAGTAACTTTGTTTCCATAACAAAGCTCTTAAAATAACTTGTTTTTATAAAGCCAGCAGCCAAGGTCTGTCAAGTAAAATCTTCAAAGAATGTACATACTCACTGAGCAAGGACCAAGTAATCCTGGATATGCTCTGCTGGCAACAGCCTGAAAGGGCCCTAAGATGATGGGAAACAAGGAAGCGCGCCGGGAAACCACAACGGAACTCCGTTCTAACACAACCCCCAGTGCAAGACAACCGTGCAGAACGGTTTAATTTGATTAAAGACGCTCTATGGCAATCTCGTCTTGACTGGTGAAACGCAGCACTCTGTATTCGTCCTCCTTGGCATCCTGCTGACAGCTGCGCTCATGTTCCAAATA